GGCAGGGGCAGGGGAAGAGACAAAGAGAGACATAGAATGGGGAAACTCATACACCAGTATTTTATAAATATAAATGCAAACATCCTCAACAAAATATTAGCAAATCAGATCCAGTAGGATATAGAAATGTTATAAACTATGACTAAGCACAATTTATTGTGAACATGCAAGTCTTGTTCAACATTTTAGCAAATCAATTAAGATAATGCATTGCAACAATAAGCTACAGAAGAAAAATCATGTGATTATATCAATACAGGCAAAAAAAAGCATTTGACAAAGTCCAACACCCATTCATTATAAATGACTAAGAATGCAAGCAAGCTTTTTCATCTTGGTAAAGAAAATCTATACCAAATCTATAGCTGAATCATACTTAGGGCAAAAAATTGAAAGATGCCCCAGTCAGATCAGAAACTTGCCAAGAATTTCCCGTCTTCATGCCTTTTTCACATTGTACTGGCAGTCCTATAACATACAAAAATAAAACGTGTGGGGAATGTCGTAGCAGGCACCCGAGCGTCTTTGCCCTTGAAAGCCTTCTCCTGCGACAATGGAGAGTCGGTAGTACTTCTACAAGGTGGTGCCCATGGGTGCAGCCCCCTGCTACGGAGACTGATGCAGGAAAGAAGACATTTGGAGCGAAATTATGGATCAAAACCTACTTTGAATAAAGTAGTTATAGTAAGTGCCACAAGAAAGCCCACTGGCCCCTTTCTAGGCAGGCTTTCATCCCTGCCAGCCACGCAGCTTGGTTCCGTTGCAATCCAGGGAGCCATTGCAAAGGCAGGGATTCCAAAGGAAGAAGTGAAGGAGGCGAACATGGGGAACGCGCTGGAGGAGGCTCGGGACGGGCCCGACAAGGCAAGCAGCTTTGGGCACTCCACCCGCCACTGTGAACGAAGTCTGTGTTTCAGGAATGAAAGCCATCGGGATGGCCTCCCAGAATCTTCTGTGTGGACGTCAGGACGTGACGGTGGCGACAGGCACAGAGAGCATGTCCAGCGTGCCCTCCATGATGAAGAGGCGCGACGCCGTAGGACGGGTGAAGCTGGAAGCCCTGATGGTGACAGATGGGCTAACTGACATCTACAGTAAGATTCACATGGGGAACTGCGCTGAGAATACTGCGAAGACCCTGAGCGTCGCAGGAGATGAGCAGGAAGCCTACGCTATAAACTCTTACACCAGGAGCAGAGCAGAGTGGGAAGCTGGAAACGTTGGAAACGAAGTTACTCCGGTCACAATTACAGTAAAAGGCAAACCAGATGTAGTGGTAAGGGAAGATGAAGAATGCAAGCATGGTGCTTTCCGTGAAGTTCCAAAGCTGAAGACAGTTTAAAAAAAAAAACAAAACGGCACAGTGACAGCGGCCAACGCCAGCACGCTGAACGACAGGGTAGCTGCCGTGGTCCCGATGACTGCAGAGGTAGCCACGAGGCTCAACGTGCAGCCGCTGGCCAGAATAGCAGTGTCTGCTGATGCTGCAGCCGACCCCACTGACTTTCCCGTTGCCCGCCTATGCTGTGCCCAAGGCTCTTAAAGATGCAGGACTGAAAAAAGAAGACATTGCAATGTGGGAAGTCAACGAAGCCTTTAGTGTGTGGTACTGGCAAACATTAAAACACTGGAGACTGATCCCCAAAAAGTGAACATTAATGTAGGTGCTGTTTCACTGGGGCATCCAATCGGGATGTCTGGAGCCAGGACCGCGGTTCATCTGGCTCACGCCCTGCAGCAAGGAGAGTATAGGCTGGCCAGCGTCTGCAATGGAGGAAGCGGCGCCTCTGCTCTGCTCATCCAGACGCTGCAGACAGCCTGAGCTAGCCCCGCGTGACTCCCCGGGAGCCTTATACACAAAGGCTTTAATTTTTTATTATTTCCTATTGTAACTTTTTTTGTGTATGTAACTTTTAAAATAAGAAAAATGATCACAACCCAAACCTCCTGAAATTACATTCTTTTTCTTCTTCTTTAAAAAAAAAAGAGGGGCCAGGGAGATGGCTCAGTGGAATAAGCACTTCCCTGGCAAGTACAAGGGCCTGAGTTCAATCCCTGGTTCCACCAAAAACATAAAAAAAAAAATTTAAAAAGTGTGCAGACTGTGAAGAAATTAAACTGCTTTATTTACAGATGTTGTCACAGTTGATGAAGAAACCCAAAGTGAAAGAAAACAACTCTTGAGTGTAATAAGTAATGACAGCAATTGCAGGATGGAAAATAATATGTAATAGTCAATTGCTATCTTGCATATTAACAATATAATTAATATGAATAAAAACAGTACCATTTACTTTAGCACCCCCGATACTTAAGTATAAATCTAACAAAATATATAGAGATCTATATGTAGAAAATTGCAAATGACGATGAAAGACCTTTCAAAACTAAATAGAAGGTGACAGAGCAAAAGAAACTCCCATTCACCATGAGTAGGGACACAAGCTAGAACGGATACTTTGGAGATACAGGTTGCTTATGAAACTAAACATGCTCTTACCACTGGACCCAGCCGTTGCATTCTGTGGTAAATGCTCAAAGATGTCTAGACTTTTTTCCACACAAAATCACGCACATGGATGTTTATAGCAGCTTTACTCATAATTACAAAAACATGGAAACAACCATGATACCCCTCAGTAGGCAGATGGCACATCTAGATTATGGTAGATTGTTTACTCTTAGAAAGAAATGAGCTGTTAAGCAAAGAAAGCACATGGGGGAAGTTAAGTATATGTTACTAAGGCAAACACTGCATGGGCAGTTTACACAGGAAGCCCTGGCCTACACATAGTCAACAGCTCAGCGCCAAGGTGCCAGCCTTCTCTTATGACTGGCATCTGAAGTAGGTGGATGTCTGTGGGCTGAATCCTTAGTCTCTGGACTCCAGGTGGATGGTGTCAGACTTCAGTTGAATCAGGGACACATCACTCACTTCTGCTGGAGAAGCAATTGCTTGGTGTGGAGGGAAATTGCCCACAAAGCTAATGTCAAAAGCGGCTGTGAAGGGGCAGGCAAGGGAGAAAAATAACCGTGATTTCCCCTTATTTCTCAAAAATGCTGCCTTTTTTTTTTTTTTTTTTTTTTTTTTTTAATTTTAAGGAATGGCCTACAGGGTGTTCAGGGTCTCACTACTAGGTCAGACTCATAGTGATCTGCCTGTTTACAGCCTCTCAAGAGCTGGGATTACAAGCACACACCACCACGCTCAGTCTCAATTGCTGTCTCAGCATGCCCTGGGGGGTGGAGCCAGCACAGCAGGCCCAGGATCGAATCCCCAGCCCCTGTGCCTGCTTGCAGGCCCTTTAATCCACTGAGCTATTTGGCCGGGCCAAGGCTGCTATAATTAATTAAACACCATAAACCGAGTGTCTGAAGCAACAGAGATTTGTCTGTCATAGTTTTAGGGTCCAAGGAGTCCAAGATTGAGCTGCGTCCCACTGTGCTCCTGGCCAGGGCTCTCCGCCTGCTGGTGGCAGTGACTCTCTTGGTGTGTCTTTGCTTAGCAGACAGCACACCCCCTTCCTCTTTAAAAAAGGAAGTAAGCCACCAATCCCATTTTAAGAACCCTTCCTTCATAGCTTCTAATCCTAATTTCCTCCCAAGGGTGCCATCTCCAAAGTCATCACGTGGGAGGTTAGGGAGTTGGCACATCGGCTGGGGAACATTGGGAGAATATGGTTCTGTCTGCAGCAAGCTCCACCATGAAGAAAGTGAAGCAAGGAGCCACACCATCGCACAAGAAGGTGCAGAGCCAACCACTAGCACAGATAGCCAGTGGAGCAAGGTGCCCCGAAGCTAAGCTAAGGGGGACTAGAAGGGCATCCTGGGAAGCCAGGGTAGAGGCTGGTCTGCTGTGAGGGTTAGGCAGGAGGTAATGACTTCTGAGGGCTCCAAGAGAAAGGGCTCTGTGCAAGGATAGGAGGACGGAAACGCGTTTAAATTTCCTTTAATTTCTTCATGCAGTAAGCCAGTCAACGAGAATAATAAAGCAAAACAAAAAGCCCAGGAATATCTACAGCAATACTGGATGGTAAGGCAGCCCTGAATGTTGCAAAATGCTAAAGTGTGTAGCGACAAGCGAGTGAGACCTCAGAGACCCAAGCGACATCACAGCACCATGCGGAAAGACACAGAAAG